TGCATATTTCTAAGAATATGCATACTGTTGAACGGCAACTACAGATGTGTTTAAATAAAATAAATAAATGGTGTCTTGAAAACGGTTTTAAATTTTCTAAATCCAAAACTAATTGTATACATTTTTGTAGAAAATATAAACTGCATAAAGACCCGGAACTGTTTCTCAATGGCACTCCCATCAAAGTTGTTAAAGAGGCCAAGTTCTTGGGTTTAATTTTTGACTCTCATTTAACGTTTCTGCCGCATATTAAATCCCTTAAAACTAAATGCCTGAAGGCACTGGACTTGTTGAAAGTCGTTTCCAACTCAAAGTGGAGAGGGGATCAAGCTACCCTCCCCCACCTATATCGATCATTGGTCCGCTCGAAACTTGATTATGGCTCCATCGTATATGGTGGAGCCTGCAAAAGCAATCTAAAACTACTTGATTCTGTCCACCACCAAGGTCTAAGACTTTGTCTTGGATCTTTTAGAACTTCTCCTGTTGACAGTCTCTACGTCGAAGCAGACGAGCCTTTTCTTCACTGGGGCTCAGAATGAAGCCATTTATTACTGCTGCCGGCATTGAGCTGGAGAATATAGCTCCTTCTCGTCTTCTTTCTTCTCCTCCTTGACAGTTGACCTAACACTCACAACATTTAAAACATCAGAAACTAATGAATTACAATATAAACAAGAGTATAATCAATTAAAAAGTAAATATAATACATAATACCGGATAACAGCTCTATATTTACAGCAGAAGCAAACACCATATTAACAGCTCTTAAATATATTCAAAGACATCCTAAACATAAAAATATATCATCTTTTCTGACTCTCTTTCTTGCCTTCAGGCTATTAAAAATCTATCTTGCAAACATCCACTTTTAATTCAAATAATCGAATTATATAATGATCTTGCTACTGGCCAATGCGACATCGTCTTTTGTTGGTTACCCAGCCACGTTGGCATTTCTGGGAAAACAATGGCTGATCTTGCTGCCAAGGCAGCACTCAACAAATCTGTGACACCACTTCTTATTCCATACTCTGATTACAAAGCTAGCATTAGATCCTACATGTGTGATCTGATGCAAAAGAAGTGGGACACCCAAGTAGGTATCAATAAATTACATGAAATAAAACCTTATATTGGTTACACTCACTTGGGTTGTCAGTCCAGATTTGAGGAGGTCATTATGCGACGATGTCGCATTGGCCATACAAGGTATACTCACAAATACTTGTTGAAAGGTGAAGATCCTCCGTTTTGTATCCCTTGTGATGAGAGAATCAGTCAAGCACCTCCTGCTTGACTGTGTCGAATTCTCCATCATAAGGGATAAGTATTTCAATGTTAAGACTGTTAAGGATCTTTTTAACACTGTTCATTTTCATTTAATTTTTTTTTTTATTAAAAAGAAATTGATTTGATTAATGATTTTTTATTAATCTGTTCTGTAGATAGATGTATTTTAATGATTGGTAGTTTAGATTGTTAACTTAGATTGTTAGTGGCTGTACCCTCAAAGGGGGTTAAAGTACCGTAAAATTATTGTCCTCCTGAGAGGGTACGTAAGTCCCAAAACTTTCAAAGTAAAATATAAATTATCACATTTTGAACGTAGTATTTTTGTTATTTTAATTGTTGGCTAAATTTTCCTACAATCGCCAGGGGCTGAAGGGATGGTATAAATCCAGCTAGGATCCATGCAGGTAGCAAAAGTAATGTAAGTCCCCATGGTTCCTAGTATGGTGATCTACCTTCAGTTGTTTGCGATCTATAGCCCATTTTTATATTGTGTTGTTCCCTATAGTTAAAATGTTTTAGATTCAATTACTAGTTTTACATGTATATCTGTGATACTCTAGTTGCTTTACTGTCCTTTGTCGCCAGGTTTTTATAATCTCTATATATATTCTATTTCAATGTCAAGTGTTCTCGTCACGATATGGCTGAAATATTGCCGATGTGACGTTAAATAATAACTCACTCACTCATGCATCGTATATTGAGTGGGAAGGTATGGAATGAACTTCACCAATGGTCATAATTACTGTAATGGCCATGTGTGTGTCATGAACCAGTTGTAAAACCTCTACAAGCTTTGCACTATATGTGTTATTTTGAAACTTCATCATCAAACATACAGTGCTTGTTTATGTAAACGTGACACTCACGAGGGATCTGTTATCAAGCAGTCGGTTTTGGTGGCATTTGAGTTTCAGTGTTCGTATAGGAATGGGTTTCTAATACAAGCGACAAAACCTGTTCAGTGAGCATAAGAAATTTTGACTACGATGTTGGTTGAACGGTATGAATCAGTGCCAAATAGTGATGACACCGGGTGTTCACTTATGTGTATACATTACATGCTTGTATTCTAATCCATGAAATTCTATAGCGTTTAAGGCTTGGTATCTGTCCATACTGTTTTATGTCTGCGAAATGATGTTAAACGTATCAGTTATATCATCAACTGACAAAGTTTTTAAACTCTGTGACTGAAACATGCATTATTTACATTTTATGCTTTTCAATAATAAATATCACAAATGCGGAATATTATCTTTGTTGTTCTTCATATTTATAAAGGGAGTTTATATTTTCTGTGATACGTCTTCACGTTGTAAAATGCGTGTTTTACATATAAAAGTCTAGTTAATATATCTATGATGATAAAACGATTTTAGACAACTGGTCGGACTGCTTGTTTGCTTTTAATATTGATGAGGGTCTGTAAATGATAGAGTCTGAATAAGATAATCTAGTGATTGATGCCATAAGCATCGATCTACAATCTATAAGCTTTAAAATAGTTGTACATATTAATATCATGATGACTCCCTGAACATCCATGTACAGTTGTATTGGGTAGTATATTCATACTACAGCCATGTAAGGTTGTAGTGTATAGTGTACTCATGCACGGTATCATTGTATACATTGTGCACTGCAGATAGTCGCCATATGACTGGGATATTGCTGAGTGCAGCGTTAAACAACAAACACACACGAAACAGTCAGGGCAGTTGTACAGACTTGACGTATTAACACAGCAATGTGGGTTTACCCTTTTTTTGAGATCCTTATTTAGAGCGTTGAATGTGTAAGGTTGTATTGTATTGTATTTCTTCAGACATGTAATGTGTTTCCACATCCACATAAGGTTTATTCCATACTACATCCATACATGTTTTTTGTATACTACATCCATACAAGGTTGCATTGTATACTACACCGATATAAGGTTGCGTTGTATACTACATCCATAGAGGGTTGTAATGTATATTACACGTATAATAATGTTCCGTTGTGTACTGCACCCATATATGTTTTGTTTTTTATACTACATCCATAGAAGGTTGTATTGAATGCTACACGCGTATGAGGTTGCGTTGTATACTGCAGCCATATATGTTTTTTTTTTTATACTTCATCCATAGAAGTTTGTATGGAATACTACACGCGTATAAGGTTGCGTTGTATACTGCAGCCATGTGAGGTTTTATTGTATACTACAGCCATGGAAGATTGTATTGAACACTACAGTGATGAATGGTTGTGTTGTATACTACAGCCATGTACACCAGTGCATAAATCCTAAGTTGCCACGGCTAGATTACAAACTAGTCCTTCTGGGTTCCCATTCACTGCTTCGTATACATAGGCACATTCCGAAGGAAAGCACGTGCCCAAGGAGACACCACATGTGCTGTAAATGTATGTGGGTGTGCTTGAGGCCGAAGCTGGAGAAACTCACAGCAGGCAAGATGCTCCACGTGGCCTGTTCATCATCAAGGTTGTATTACAGGTAAACGACTTATTTATGACCGTAGTGAAGGCGACCCCCACCACTTGAACAGGTGCGTGTTTCAGCCTGATCGTCACAGGGCCCATATATTTCAACACAAGTAAGATTTAAACGTTTCTGTCCCTGAGGTCAAGAACCGAGACATGGGGTTATCGTGTTTCAGTTCGTAATGCATGCAGGCTGAAGCTGGGTCACATACATGTATGTCATGACATCTATCAGCAGGAATATAATACTGGCTCAATACTGAAGGTTTACGTCGGTCATAGACCTATTGCCACCATAAACAAATAATATCACGTTACAAAGATGCCGGTACACGGTGTGAAATTAAAGGTCGGTGTTAAAAGTTCGCATACGACTGGATACATCAGTGATGGTTCATATCAACATTTGACCATAATATATGTTAACGAAACTATATATATATGTATAAGTGAGTGTGTGTGTGCTTGTGTGTGTGTGTGTGTGTGAGAGAGAGAGAGAGAGAGAGAGCGAGCGAGAGAGAGAGAAAGAAAGAGAGAGAGAGAGAGTTATTCAATGTATACAATGTGATTCAGTAAGGGTATATAGGCTATATCTAGACTTGTACTAGGGCATGAGTATCTGGAAAGTACTGCAGAGCTAGTGAAGAAATGTTCTTTGAACCAACTTTGCAAACTTGTGTATGGGCCGGAGGCCTTTTGTCCAATAAACCTCTTTGGCCACGGCACACTGGTTTAACATAAGACTGTCATACCACATTATATACATCGTACAAACAAAATTGTTCAAAGCAAGCGTTTGGTGTTGGTATCATCACATGTACCGAAATAACATAACATATGAAGAACATACAAGTCTAAATCCATAAGTGAACCATTGTCTTCTGCCTTCCGAGATAAGGACACGACACAGAATTTGGACATGAGCTATGTACCTTTTCAGTGAATACAATACGATGCAATACATCCAGTTGCTTTTCCACGAAGATACGTGTGTCCACTATGGAGCGAGAGGTCGCCTCGGATAATCACCCCAGGTTATCGCAACAGAACACCTCATACTATCTTCGTCCATTCACATTTACGTAGACACGACAAAGACGCGTGCTACTCACGCGGTGTCGGATTTATAACGTTTTACATCCGGCCAGACAATATCGCTTACTTGCTATTGTCGATAGCGAACGTCAGCTTTCAACTACATACCTGTTAACGACATGGAGGAACACACGCCCACGACTCTGTCGCTGAATAGTGGCTTTGCTATGCCCCTCGTGGGGTTTGGGACATACAACAAGCTGCAGGTATGGTGTTTACTTGTGTTAAACTTGTATTAGAAGAATAGCTAAGTGATGTCTCGATCAGTGAAAATAGAATACTAGTCTTCAACACCCCAGATTAGTCAAAGTCAAGTCAAAGAAGTTTGGTGGGGTAGCCAGATGGTTAAAGCGTTTGCTCGTCACGACGAAGATCCAGGTTCTATTCCCCTTATGGGTACAATGTGTGAAACCCATTTCTCACGTCCCCCGCGATTTAGAAATATTGCTAAAGGCGGCATTAAACTGAACTCACTCACTCACTCACTCACTCACTCAGAAGTATTATGTACAGGTGTGTATACTTTTCCCAACACCACTGGTCAATTAGTAGCCCTCTATTCCTAGTCGTCAGGTGATACTATATAGTAGGAATCAGATGGTCGTTGTGAGTGACTTTTCTGAACGTATGTCATCATGCCCCAATGACGAGGTTCGATGCTCATGCTTTCAGTCACTGGATATCCTGCCCCAGGTTGATTTTATAGACGCCCCCGTCACATTCATGTAGCTGGTATATGTCTGACCACGACTTAAGAGAGAATTTGCTTACTCTCAAATGTCCAGTCGGGTATTGATGGCTGGGTAGCCTAGTGGTTAAAGCATCCGTTCTTAACATCGACGACACCGGTTCGATTTCTCACAGGGTTAAAATTTGTGAAGCCCATTATTGCTGATCGCGGCCGTGAAAACCATATTCACTCACTCGCCCTTATTAGATTATCAATATTGTTACATACAAGAAGTAATGCATGACAAAATTGTCCACCGTGTAGGTCAATGACCAGGTCATGATCGACGCCATGAAGACAGCTATTGACGTCGGCTTCCGTCATTTGGACGCGGCGTGGTATTACAACAACGAGACTGACGTGGGTCAGGCCATCAAGGAGAAGATTGAAGACAAAACAGTGACAAGAGAGGAACTGTTTATCACATCAAAGGTAATTCACTTTATTACATGTACAAAATATGATCACAGACTAATGCTATGGGTTGGTACCTAAGAAACAACGCGATGGTGGGCTGACAAGTATGTTAGTACAAGGATAAGTATACAGGATACAGTTTACAATTACAAGAGGCAATAGGATTGTTCAAATATGTGTAGGCAACAGAAACAATCCCTATATGAAATGTCAGTACACAAGTAGGCAAGTGGGTGAAACGCAAATCAACAGAAGGTCTCGCATTCGCCAAGACCTCACTCTTATGTCGAATGATGTAGCTATGTCTGAGTGTATTAAATCACACATCTAAGGGAGGTAACTTAAATCTCATTAATCTATGTATGAGACTTCAAATGCCCCCGTAATGTTGCCAATCAAAAGCCTTAATTCTGTCAGATGTAATTGAAACTATCAATCTCTATATATTTGCCCAATACCCCTGTCATTTTGATTTTATTATTATAATGAATTTATACCATAACTTTTTTCTCACGAAACAACGTTTGTGGGGTTTTTTCAGCATAAACAAACTGAAACTGAAGCCACTATAAACAAAGAAAACAGCAAACAAATGATGTTTTAAATCTCCATCGAGATGGACCTCATTGTTGCGTTAAAAAAATGATTGGAATATAGAACTGACACTTTTACCTTTTTTAGCTGTGGTCCAACTTCATGGCACCGGAACGAGTTGAGGAAGCGGTGAGGATTTCACTGAACGACCTTGGTGTGTCATATCTGGATCTGTACCTGGTCCACTGGCCTACACCAACAGAGGTGAGACAGGCGTTGGGATAGAACAGAACATAATTCCCAATTGGAATTGATCCCAATAAACCAAAACATGTAGTAAGCAACTTACTGAATTAGGAGGTCAGGCTAAGTCACAAAGGAATACATTATTTCTTATGATAACAATTCCGATTTGTTTCTGGTGAACAGTTGACAAGCCTTGGCGTGTGTTTATGACGAGTGCCGATGGCGGGGCAGGATATGATCACCTCTTCGCGAACATCTGGCATCATCACTATTTGATAGTGACTCATTAAGACATGCTCAGTCACCATATCACATAGTGTCAATCGCTGGATTGTCTGGTCCAGACTCGATTGTTTACAAACTGCGTCGTACAGCTGTAATACTGCTGAATGCGGCGTCAGGCAAACACATACGTTCGATATAGTCAAAGTTTATAATCGATTCTGCTTTCAACAGAAATTTCTAACGAAAGGGTATTGTCCTTTGTAATTCTATTATGATAACAACAAGATTTTGCTGGTAATCGATTTGCTAGTCCTGATATCCGGATAAAAACCGAAGTATATCTGTGTCAAACTGTGTAGAGAGAGATGACAGTGAGATAAAAACAGAAGTGCAATTTATCATAAAGCAAAATATAAAAGATAGGCTTTTAGGCCAATCTTTAATGTGTCGACCTGAAGGTCCCGAAGTATAAACTTTGTCCTTATTTAGTCATTTCGTATTGAGTCTTCATTTTGCGGTTGTGTGGTACCTAGGATAACTCGAAGGTAGTTCCAACTTCCACACAACATTGTTTAGCGATCTCGAACCTCAGGAAACACAGAGGAAACATGAACCCATGTAACCTTAGGGGACAATCTGTTTCGTGTTCCTCACACGGAATTAATATGTTGTACGTATATCTCACACAATTATACATGCAATTATAGTAAGAATACAACAGCTATGCATGTTATGCACTTTGTTCATTTTTCACATCGATCGAAGCAGAAGGTGGCAGAAAAACAAACTCCCCCTGAGATCTATAGCATTTGAAAATATGTCACAAACTAGGTACTAGTCCTTGTCACTGATGTGTTTCAAATGGATGGGCAACATTTGGAAATATACTTTTTGAAAACAATATTTCAAATTCCTGGTTTGGTTTCATTTTGTTTGGTTTTTAGAGGCGTCTGTAAAAGGATTTTGCATGTTATTGTGTTAAAATTTAGACGGAATATGTTACCAATGCAATTTCTTTGATGAAGTGTCAATACATGTAATTGGTTGTTGTTGTTTCAAGGACTGTCCCGATGACCGGTCCTTCAGTTCTCCAGTGCACGACAACAAGATTGATTATCTGGACACGTGGAAGGTAGGTCAGAGGCTGAATATGAACCCGATTATCCAAATGGACAGACGACATCAATAGTCATAATTCCCAGACATACAATCACTAATTGTGTCTCTATATTATTAGCCCGGAATGCCCAATCGCAATAATGATACCAATATATAGCTAAAGGGAGTATGGCCTTATTTCGCTTCAGTAATAGTCCAGCAATATCACGACTGGGGACAACAGAAATGGACTACAGATTTTATGACCCCTCTGGAAATCGAACCTGGGTCCTCGTTTGACTGGCCCATAGTGTCGACAAACCTACACACAAGAACTACACTTGGATTCGAACCCGCTAGTATTTCAAAGGGTGACAACTCTGCACATTGAAGTGTGATGACGTAGGCATCTGGGTGTCTGTGCTTCTTATAGGTGGGACTCGTTAAGATCCAGGTTAGAATCGATCTTCAGTAACCCGTGCTTGTCGTAAGAGGTGACTACCGGGATCGGAAGGTCAGGCTCGCTGACTTGGTTGACACATGTCATCATATCCCAGTTGCGTACATCGATGGTCATGCTATTGATCAGTGTGCTGTCTGGTCCAGACTCGATTATTTACAAACTGACGCAATATAGCTGGAATATTGCTGGGTGTGGCGCTAAACAACACACCAACCAATCAATTCTATATGTAGACATGTGTATACGTGGCAAGTACTATTTGTTAAAACCTTAATGATTCTGTTTAAGGCAATGGAGAAACTTGTGGAGAAGGGACTGGTTCGCAGTATCGGAATTAGCAATTTTAATATCAGCCAGGTCGAGCGACTATTGAACATGGAAGGACTGAAAATCAAACCTTCAAACCACCAAGTAAGTTAGTACTGAATAGTAGTCTGAACCTTAATGTATACCACCTTTTTCATATACAATTAATCACATATAGGAAATGTATCAGCATATATTTATACTGATGAAAGTAATTTGAATGAAGACCAAATGAAGCTTGGTGTGACGGAAGAATAAAAACAAATTCTGGTTCCAAGGCTGTGAGATCGAGAAAAGAAATTATTTCAACACCACAATGTATTGTATGCATCGATCTAACGGTTGACTATGTCCAGGTTGAGATTCCAGTTTAGACTAGGTTGCATGTAGCTACGAATACGGTACACGTCGATCTAGGGGATCGGGTGGTCAGGTTCGGTGACTAGCAATTGGTTCATTGATGGAATATTCAGGGGCGGATCCAGGCTTTTGGAGAAGGTGTGTGTGTGTGTGTGTGTGTGTGTGTGTGTGTGTGTGTGTGTGTGCGTGCGTGCGTGCGTGGGGGGGTGAAATTGTTTAGTGCCATATTGACAAACAAATAAACATCATCATCATAGTATCACAGATGTGACATTGATAAGTTTCATTGAATCAGATAATGGTTCCCAGACCAAGTATCATTTATTAATTAGCATGTAGGATCGCACGTCGAGAGCCTTGTCATCTAGAAAAAAAATGTTTATAATATGTCTTAGGCTTAGCTTCTGTTTCATTAATGTGTCTACTTCACGAGCACATATATGTATAGGGTCGTATATTCATTTCCTTGGTTCACATTTCAGATTGAGATTCACCCTATGTTTAACAACAACGACCTCATTAAATACAGTCACTGCGTTCTGCCCCCTAGGGGGTATGTCGGGGAATAGCGGGTAAGTCTGAGGTCCCAATGATCTTATCGGACCCGTGAATATCCGGGTAAGAACTGATCTTCAGCAAACCATGCTTGTCGTAAGAGGCGACTAACGGGATCGGGTGGTCAGGCTCACTGACTTAGTTGACAATTGCCACCCTTTGGAGGAGATCGATGCGCATGCTGTTGATCACTGGATTGGCACGTCCAGACTCACTTATTTGCAGACCGCCGCCATATAGCTGAGCAAACAAAAAAGCAAATGTCAGCATCTCATCATCTCTTATATCGCAGCCTTTGCCGTTATTTGATTTTCAGTGTTTTCTACCACGATTCAATTTCTTTGAAAAACAAATTGTGTACTGAATTCCTTTTTGTTTCAATGTATATATTTTTATCATCAAAATATCTTAAACGCTTCTTATACTTCAGTTTAGCAAAACACCTTTTTCTGAATATTTGTTTCCTATAAACCGTAATAATTAAAATAATGAAATATAACATGAGTATGATAGAAATAGAATTAAATGACAGTTCACAGGTTCCTAATGAGCCTACATGTATATACTGTTTAAAAGTCACATCTGACGTGCGTGCGTTCGTGCGGGCGGGCGGGCGTGCGTGTGTGATGATCCACCAGTGTACTTCCATTGTGTTTCCTTCAGCATTGTCAACAACCCTACACTTGGAAGCGGTGGGCAAAAAGTATGGAAAGTCTGCTGCTCAGGTACTGAACTGGATATTTTTACGAGGATCAAATATAGAAACCTTAAATCATACGCTTCTGATGAGACGTTGTTGTCATTCCATTTGACTCATAGGCGTGTCAGATTCGCTACAAGTGTTGCCGTTGGTCTGCCAGAATTACACTTGCACTGCCTTTCACTACTTCACACATTAAGCTGAGAAGCCCCATCACCACCGAAATACAGTTTTATTGGGTGTCCATCCCACGATATCTTGATACATCCGCTAAATCCTAAACCCTAGATCCATTCCTACCGTCGAAAATTAACCTTGATTTTTAGTCATATTTTCAGTGTTGTATTTCTCTGAAATTCAATTATAATCAATGGAGCATGTTCTTAATGTTGCCATCTCGACAAATATAAATAATATGTTTTAACAAACTGTTGTTTTATACCCCTAAACGTTTTGGTTTTGGTGGAGAACCGCAAATATTTTGTGGCTCTTCAGAAAAGTAGAGAGACAGGAAAAACAATGTAAGCGGTGACAAGAAATAGCCTCAGGCATCAGTCCAGGATTCAACAGCTTTGGGACATAGAACTAAAGCGCATCTCCTTGCAAATACCTGGTATCATCACTAGTTGGTAGTAATTCATGAATACATGTTTCTGAATACGTTGAAATCGAACACTAGACAAATATTGTCTTTTTAAGACTGTGATTCTTTGTGGCCCTTTCATATCATTTTCATGACCATGCCATCCGAATGTTCTACATCTTCCCCCAGGTAGCCTTGAGATGGGGGATGCAGAGAGGATACGCTGTTTTAACGAAGAGTATGAGAGAAGAGAGGATAAAGCATAACTTCCAGGTACGATGAGTCGCTGTAGGAGTTGCCTCCCTTACATGTACTTGGATCCTACTACCGTGGGTTCGAATGATTACATTCCACCGAAGTGGTAGCTCATATCGGATATATTTCATACATGAACACCAAACATGTAACTGAAATAATTGATGTGATGCCCTTTTTACTCCAATAATGCTTTCGCTCCTGTTTCGAATAGCTGCAAGATTACTGATGCGACGTTGAGTAAAGACCTCACTATTCCTGAACTACATAACCTATGACTTGTGTGAGTGGCATTTTAAAAGTTGAGACGTACAATATAGAACAAGTTTTTATGGATAACAACTTCTTTATTTCGTAAGTGCGACGTTTCGATACAGATTCTTGCTTGACAACGGTACAAGAATCTGTATCGAAACGTCGCACTCACGAAATAAAGAAGTTGTTATCCATAAAAACTTGTTCTATATTGTACATAACCTATGTACTGTGTCCCCGCCGAGATAATTGCAATAACATTGCCAAAGCGGCATACAGCCATACTCATGCTCATAATCCATAGCTGGAACATTGCAGAGCGCGGCGGGGCGGTGGGGTAGCCTAGTGGTTAAAGCGTTGGCTCGTCACGCCGAAGACCCGGGTTCGATTCCCCACATGGGCACAATGTGTTAAGCCCATTTCTGGTGTCCCCCGCCGTGATATTGCTGGAATATTGCTAAAAGCGGCGTAAAACTAAACTCAGTCAGTCAATGCAGAGTGCGGCGTTAAATAACAAAAAACTACAAAACACTATCCTCCGCCCCCCATTCCCTCACTCACTCCAGACCCGTGAAGATCCGGGTTAGAATTGATCTTCAATAACCCATGCTTGTCGTAAGAGGCGAATAACGGAATCGGGTTGTCAGGCTCGCTGACTAGGTTGACACATGCCATCGGTTCCCAACTGCGCAGATCGATGCTCATGCTGTTGATCACTGGATTGTCTGGTCCAGACTCGATTATTTACAGACCGCCGTCATATAGCTGGAATATTGCTGAGTGCGGCGTAAAACTCAACTCACTCACTCACTCCAATATTGTTTTTCTTAATCAGTTGTGGGACTTTGAGTTAAGTGACGAGGATATGGATGCTGTCAATTCTGTCAATAGTGACAACCGTCAAGTGGGACCTAACATGTAAGTTTTCTACAGTTATACTATTTGTGTTCAAGTGCTATTTTGGAGTATTTAGATACTTCCACACATTTATGCAACTGATCACATGACCATGCACTAAACTAAACTGGCGTACTGGCTCATGATTTCATTTATCACTCCAAATTTGGACAGTTGTGAAAACGTAAATGTTCAATATATAGTTTTTCATGCAGGGTTACAACTAACCGAATTATAAAAGCCGTACATGCAAATATCACCGTAGCCAGACTTAACTTTAACGTCATTCCAGTCCTGTTGTGACGTTAGGCTGGAATGATATCACACAAGAAATGAAGTTGAGATAGATAGCAGATTGTTGAAGTCTTTTTATACTCTTAAAAAAGTAGGGGAACTGTATTTTACGATTGAACAAATGGGAGAGATATCGGGGTCAATCAATATTGATATGAATGTTTTTAAGAGTGCATCAATACTTGCACTTCCTTATGACCATAGTTGTTTGTTCAGTAGTCGATCTTGAAAGATGATTGGTGTGTGGCGTGAAATTTGTATGTGTACGATTTTCATTCAGTAGTGGGTGATTCCAACAAACACCAAACACTAGCATATTGTGTGATCAACAGATGCCAGATGGTTGTCAAAATTAATGGTCAACATAGAGAATACTACACGATTCGCAGGTAGAATATTGCGATACGTATCGTATCGTGACATAGTGTATCATCCCAGCCCTATCTAAGACTCATGAAGTTGTATTGAAATAGTTCACAATCAACAATTACTGCCGTGATATATAGAGAATACTACAAGAGGGCTCATTACATACGAATTATACGAAACGAGTGTCCTTCCTATGGTATCTGACCGAGCGAAAGCGAGGTCAGATAACATAGGAAGGTCACGAGTTTGTGTGGTATTTTATTTATTACCCACGTCTTACATGCATTAAATTGACAAAATAGCGTATTTTTGTTATGTTTTTGGTTTCAAACCGACACCGGTTTCATAAAGAGGTTGCCGAAGAGTTTGTACTGTAGTACAATATTTGCATGACGTCACGCTCTAATGACGTCACTGCCTTGGTAACCGACGTCACGATTCATGTCAGTTGTCATCGCCTCGTACAGCCTCCTACAGTAAACTGCTCCGTAGCACCTCGTTTCTGGGTTTCCAGTTGCTTCATTCGGCTAACATCACTGGTGGAAACATTGCGTTTATGTTTTTCGACGGATATAATGTCTCAGTTCGACTCACAATTAAACAGCGACACGGCAACGTTCGCAATGTTTACATTCCCACAATGCATTTAAGTTGCAGAATAAATGAATTCACGTGTTTGTTATGAATGAAAAAATAGTTACGTCAGAATGTGACCTAATTGAGAGGTCATCAGTTATCCAATCAAATCGTTAGAATCTCAGGTCAAGTCGTTACGACACAGGTCAACGTGATACGACACTCGTGTGACGTACAAGATCAGTATGCAACTACCCATACGTTGACCACGTGGGTAATAAAGTGATTTATCGACCTTCTTGAAAACCGTCAAAATCAAGAATGACGCTCCATGCACGTGTATGGGACTACTGCGTTGTGCACGTGCATTCCATGTGTTGTGGACCGCCTCCGTGGTGTAGTGGTTAGAGCATCCGCCCGGAGAGCGGAAGGTCGCGGGTTCGATCCCCGACCCCGTCATACCAAAAGACGTTAAAATATGGTACTTGTTGGTCCCTGCCTGGCGCTCGGCATTAATGGGTACAACAAGGACTGGTCGGCTCGGAGTCAGTATAATGTGTCTGAGTGGGGTATTCATGCTTCATTGCGGCATGGTATCTCAGTGGGCTAGCACTATAAAACCAGCTTAAGTCTGGGCTAGTACAAGCAGCCGCACATACACATACACACGCATGCACGTCGTCATATGAGCGAAATATTCTCAAGCACGACGTTAAACCCAATTTCACCTCACCTCACCTTGTGTTGTGTTTAGGGGTGGTGATCAGGAGAAATGGTGGTGCGTTTATAAGATGTCTGTCTTTGAAAAACATGTTAACGCTTATACTTCCTATCCAAATTGAAAATTCAAATTCCCCTACTTTTTCAGAGTAAACAAGGGGTTTTCAAAACATCTTCGATGATCAGTGTTGTAAAGGGGAGCTCGAAAGGATAAGAAATATTTGGAAATTACAAAGAGTTAATTGCACTAGTATATGAAATAAAAGAATTTTGACAACCGATTCCTAAAGTCAGTGCCATACACCTGCCTGTACATCAGTTATTACCTGTATACCTGGAGCGTAATGACGTAATAAGGATTGAAAGCGATGGTTGAAAATCTCTTTAGGGGAATATATTCTTTTATCTCTGGGATTCTGGGTTTGAATAGGCTTTGAATAGGCCCTAAGAAACTTGTACACCTACTGGATCAACAATTGGTTTATCTGGACCAGGCTCGATCATTTAAGGTCCTCAATGTGACATTCTAGGGACTGGAATATGATGTGTGCGGTGTAAACAAGCAACCGTGACATTCAAGGGACTAGAATATGATGTGTGCGGTGTAAACAAGCAACCGAAAGAACTACACGGAACCATATCTTGTTAAGCTATGTGAGGAAAGGTGCTGGATCTGTTTCCACTTCTCGTAAACTGCCAGTAAGAGAATTACAACTTCGAGTCAAACGCAAAAAGTTAGAAACTGGCACTTAATCCAAGATTAGATATACCGCTTTGCATTTTTATCTCGAATTCGACAAACGACCATATTCGCATGTATCTACGAAGTGTTCCGGGCCGGTGATTAGGTTCGAGATAACGGTACATTCGACATAAGGGGGTTCGACGTAACGACATTCGACTGAAATGAACATACAATGAACGTCTTTCATCCTTTATATTTATTTGCAGGTTCACGGGTCATCGTTTCTGTCCATTTTAGATGAGAGGTAAGGGGTTGTTAAGCTTTCTGGTCATTTCGAGACGTTTGTTATTAAAAAACAAACATCTGCATTACCATTGAATATTTGAAGGAATAGGAGACCAAACCAACATTTCTCATCAACGTGTTTGCCTCATGTTTTAATGTCTGAAAATGTTCATTTCTGTGAAGACAGTTGTCTTTTTAACTTGGTACATTGCTATCCTATGTGACAAACTTAATGGAGAATATCTGATCTGTGAGCATTTGTCACTGATAACGTTACATGTCTATCTTCAAACGTTCAGGAAAATGGTTATAAATGATTCAATGAAAGCAAATGTCATCTAATGTTCACTCTGAAATGAATGTGATCATGGAATTCTGGACTGTGTTGTAGTTTTAATGCGAAATTTGACAATAGGATATTAAGGAAAGAAGTAGGTATGTTCACCATTTGTGATCCACTCCACTGACGTTTTTCTGATGAAAATGAAAACAAACTCGTTCTCTTTTTACCCCAATGAAATGGAAATGAAGGAGACCGTCCGAATGTGTCATATAATCTGCATTTAGATCTGTACACAACTATCCACACGACATTCAATCATTCTGCAATTCATTCATGCTGCCATTCATTCATCCTGTCATTCTTTCATTCTGCCACTCATTCTTTCTGTCATTCATTCATTCTGCTGGACATTTATTCTGCCAGGACGCAATTCAACGCCAAGTCTCTGAGATGGTGGTCGTTTAAAATGTAGGACACACCAATAACAGCAATGTATGGGTCTGTGCACTTTATCTTTATTCATTTTCTCAATATATTTCAGGCATTCGAAGCGTACAACACTGCTACAACCAACAATGAATTTAAAGCAAGGTCCTCTTCCACACCACCCGTCATTATGATGCCGTCACAGTCGGGTATAGAAAACCAACAAGTCACATGAACTACAAGACTTCAAAAACGTGGAGAACAAACTCGTAGTCGACATCGTTCTGCTCAAAATGCACTGTCACAAGTACTTTGAATATGGAATCACTATACGTCAGAAATACCCACAGTGTGATTTAAAATCTTCACTCACTCACTCATTCACTAAGGAATAAACTGGGAACTTTATATTTGTCACCCATAACTGAAGCCTTCAAATCATCTATTTCAGTCAAATGTCTGTATTTTGTTTTGAAACCTTTGATTGAACAATTGCCTTTGAGCAATTTCTATCCTGGCGACAGAAGCTAGGAGCTCTGGCAAGCAACTAATGTCACTCACTCACTCACTCACTCATAACCCGGATTTCATGAGGCTGAAGCCAATCAATGTAACTATGAAGGAGTTTTAGCTTTCGGTGTAAATTCAACACATACTACATAAATTCAACACATACCACATAAATTCATCACATACTACATAAATTCAACACATACTACATAAATTCAACACATACTACAGAACATTTTACTCATAAGATTAATGACACGTCAATAATGATATTGATAATAATTCAGTTATATGCCTGTGACAACAGTAATATCGTTCCCATGCATGCGTATGTTGTTATTCTGTTAATTACATATGTCTTCGCGAACGTGAATTCAGTCCCATTGGTGTGTGACTTTAAAAAAATGTGACATTTCGTTGGAAGGACAACGCGTACAACAGAATATTATTTTATTATAAATACATAAACTGATGAAATGTGTATGATATCTATAACAAACTTCACTACGTGGGTTGCTCTTTTTATTTATGAGAACATTCCCTAACTTCATGTGTAACTGTACAATAAAAGAACATACACATGCGCTTCTAATGGAGCCAAATGGTACCAACATATAAGTATATGGTTTGTAATGTTTTGACATATTGCTTCAAACACATGATGCGTATCTCAAGTGTACAAATAGTAAGAATCTATAATTAGATAATAATAAAGGGTAATAATCACTTTAAAGAAAATTTGAATTTTTTCGGTAATGCATGTTATAATATACCCACATTACATTTTACCTAACGTTACCAAGAACACTTTGTGGCGACAAAACTAATCTTATAGATTATAGAAAATATATAGTATATAGAAACAACAATCTGGAAAAGAAAACAAATAACAACGGTGATGGTCTTTGCTAAGAAACACATCCAAGATGTATCGGTTTAAATAAATGTTCTTAATTGTAATACGGGGTGGGTGTGTGTGTGTGTGTGTGTGTGTGTGTGTGTGTGTGTGTGTGTGTGTGTGTGTGTGTGTGTGTGTGTGTGTGTGTGTGTGTGTGTGTAGCCTAGTGTTTAAAGCGTTCGCTCGTCACGCCCAAGACCCGGGTTCGAATCCCCTCATGGGTACATTGTGTGAGGCTCATTTCTGATGTCCCCCGCCGTGATATTGCTGGAATATTGCTAAAGGCGGCGTAAAACCAAACTCACTCACTCACTCTTATTTTTAATATGTTATTACCATATGACGTTGCCAAACAACCAACACGGAACATGTTTAATCTACTGTGTGTTACTATTGTTAATAAAGCTCACTATTAAAGTTGGTTTTAAGAAATGATATAATGCATAAGTGATATGAAAAGCGTGCACCGTTACCAGAAATAAAACATAAGGAGTTAGTTAGCTGACACTCCAAACATGATCAATAATTAACTTGTCCTCAATGACATTTAGAAACATAGCAATGTAAGCAATCTCAGTATGTAGAGATGGGGTTCTAAAGATGGCATCTAACTTGATACGCCACCTTTATGGTCGAAATGAAGTGAATGAGTAAGAATGGTTGGACGCCAGACATGTGTTTCGCCCATTAATTAAGGAATCCAAACTGAACTTTCGGTGTGACGAGCGAGCACTTTGACCACATGGCTACCCCACTTCAACATCTCACTTAGCATTTAATATGTCTTTCAAAAATATCATCATTCATAATGGTGCATAGTTCAAAGGCATCTATGAGATGGCTGACAACATTGGCATTATACAATTCTCACAAGAATTAATGTGTGGGAAAAAAAAAAATTCATATCGCAGTCGGAAACATTCTAGCTGTATCACGGCTGTCGGACACGGAACTTGGTCACTAATTGTTCAAAGCAAAAGGAAAGAGTCAGCCACTGGCTTAGTATGGTTCAGGCACGTATGCATGTACTGAAGATGTTCCTCGGTCTCTTCTGCTATTGACATGACTGAATCAGAACCATTTTTAACAACTCAGTCGTTATCCAAGTATGTAGTATGCCAGTGGTTATGTCTTCTCTTCAAGAACAGTCTGGCATGTTCATAGATTGAAGAACCTGAAAGAGAAAATACACCAGTAATAGTAATGGACATATAGATCCAGATGTCTTGCTGCCAGTTGGGTCACTGTTCGAAAATTAATTTAAAAAACAGGTTTAACTTTAAGAATTCATCTGGACGACTCGACAGTGACAACATTTAGCCAGAGCAACTGATCTTTAGTGTCATCAGCAAGTCACCATGTCACACAGGACATTCTATGGCCAAGTCAGACATCAAACATGTTTGACAACAGGGACCGGTTTCACAAAGCTATCTTAACGCTATGGCTGTCTATGTCTATGACTAAGTCTATGTTACAGTATAGGAGGAATGACAGCCGTAGCACAACGGTACCCTTCTGAAACGGGGACCAGATCCCTGTATCAAAGATTAACTAGAATACCTTATAAACCCATAGAGAGAGCTAAACAAATTCGAAAACAATTCATGACAAGATGATGATTGGAGACACCTGTCCCATAGATACTGAAATTGTCACCCAAAAAAAGCAATCCGTCAAAAGATTTTCATGTTAATTGTTCACATGTTTCAGATTAAATCAATTATTTCAAAAAACATCACCCATGATTATCCTCGACAAAATATACACTCTGTATCAAACTTTGCAAGGCACCTTTCCTATGAAAGAAGTACCCATTAAACAAATCTAAAAACAATCAATTAAATTAAAGCTATTGGTTCAACAACATTACCGCTGGAAGTTTCCCCGAATTTAAGAAATGTAAATTGTGATACTTCTTGATACATAAACAATGTCACACAAACACCCAGCACTGTAGCTCAAAAATAGATGTTGAATGTGATTCCCAAAATTGAAAATAATCCATTACAATGTTATTTTTTAACAAAAATGCCCATGGGTGTTTTAAGTTCTAAATATATCCTTGTAAAAACGTAGAAAACCTGAAGCAAACTTTTCACGGCACTTCTCCCTTAAACAAAGACGCTGAAAAACATTTCGAGCAATATTTTTCTTAGCTCAAATTTAAGAACTGATGTTATTCATTTGAAAAGTAACAAATCTTAATCAAAGTTTGTTTTGCCACTTTGTTTTACCAGCGCCTTGGACATGTACTAGGTGCGTGGATATGTGCGCTATATAAATATCCTATCCTAATCCTAAACAAAAAATGGTGGTAAACAATAATCCAACCAACAGATTTCTTTAGATGGGTGGATGGAATTCCTTGGTAGCACTTTATACTCCTCAAAAAGGTCGGGTGTATAAACATAAAAATCCACAACTGCTTTCATTTGAAAGAGAAAAGAAATACCAACTGTAGGATTTAAACTTACAAGTAAAGAGAGATGATCATTTGGATAAACAAGTATTCTGACTTCAGTCAATGTTGTACTTGGATAGGTGGCATCGTGAATTTCAACAGCCTGAAGAATCCACTGGGTTACTTTATCAGGTGGGTAGGAATGACCACTTGTCCCAAGCAGTGGAAAAGCTATGGTTCTTAGTTGAGACTCGTTTACTTTCTTCAAACACCTCAGAATCATTTCGATGAAGGACTGAAATAATTAAAGAATGAAACACTGTTAATGTCATCAATCATCCAAAATTAGAAAATACTAGACACGTGCAATAGCCGAGCAGCTAAAAGGACAGAGTGCAATATAACGAATTTACACACACGTGAATTTGCATAGATAAAACATAGGACAAGCAAAAAGTCAGTTTTACGGTTGTAGATGTTCATATATTTATGAAAATTAGAAGGTATTTCTTATTCATACCAACACTAAGTATTAAGGTATAAGCATAATGTATGAAATATGCTCTTGGTGAGTGTTGTTCTATAAATTAAACATGAACAGTGTGGACACCATCTTTGACCCATGCTGGTGTACCATGCTGGACACCATCTTTGGTCACAGTGGGTCATGGGTGTTGTAAAATTGTCTCTTGAAATTCAGCTAATCTCGTATCAATGACTATGTCACAGTCGCCCGAAAACGACTAAACATATTTTCTACCTTGTCGTAGACTAACGTTTAATTTAAAAAAAACTTAATTTTAACAGCAACAAACTATTTTTTTCTTCCATTTTTTTTTTCCTAAACCTAAGGAAAATCTAAACACTATTCATTTAGGGCTACTGTGTTACAGAAGGGGCGTATAAGCGAATGGGTGGAAGGGTGGAAGAACATGCTTAGGGACTATGAGGCAGACTAACCTCTCTGAGACGTTCCGTCTCCTCCCACGGCCACAGTGTTGTAAAGTAGATCTGTTTCCAGCATTTCCGACCTCCGGAGGTGAATGCTATTCGGCCTTCTGATAGTCCACTGGGATAGCTTTCCTCCAACTCCTGTTGTATTTCCGCCCCAGCCTCTGCAAGCACAGCCTTTGACAAGCCACCAATGTTGAGTTTAAGATCCCGTGGTGCACCACACACTATTACGTCCACCTGGAAGAAAATTAGTGTTCTCCTTTGTAGAAATCCACTAAAATCATGCATTGATCTCAGAACGTGACTTTGTCAATAAATATGTTTAGTACATGAGCAACATGGGGAATAATAAAAATATATAAAATATTAATATAAAACATATTATTCTTTCTATGGTGTTGTGAATGACCAGTCACCAGCAGCTAGAGATGTTCTGGAGAAGAATAAAAACTAAATCTGTTTGATGGACCACTGAACATATAGTGGAAGCATTTTCCTGTCCTATCGCCAAGTCACGGTTTTTGCAGTATTCCTACAAGTCGAGTATTGAAGCATTTGCTTGATACAGTTACCGCCTGGTGATGTACGAGAATGCCATGTAATTCCTCTTCCTTTGGAACCCTAGAGTCAACCCACCTCTTGTTTCGTGATGTCCCCAGCGCAAACGTTGACCATAGTTCTTGGCCTTTCTGCAAATTGAAGCATTTGGATAGAACTGTTACAATGCATTTCATTTATGACTTTGTTATCTGTTTGTGTTTTGCGAGTATTTGCCATATATTTTTATTGGTGGATATTTGTGTGTACTTGCCATATCCTTTTGTTGGTGCAGAAATCATTGATGCTGATGGCTTTGCTTCCAGAGGTGACTCCGGCTGTGGATACACCGGTTCTTGTTTTCTTTGGGGTTCCTCAGTAGAGTGCTGGCCAATAAAACCACATAGCATGATACAGAATAATTACAGTCTCAGTAGTGAGTGTGGTTTAACGCTGCTTTCAACGGTATATCGAGTTTTATTGAGCCTAACATGACAGAAAAGTACAAAATGATACAAGTCACAGGCGTTTACCCCTTCCTTCAGTGAAACCCAAGTGCCGGGGTATAGATTTGAGACAAACTTCGAAACATAATAAGGGCGAACCGGGATTCGAACCCACAATCATAGGATTCTGGAGTGTCCGAGGGAAACACCTCTGCGGTGCACCCAAAAATCCCAGTAAACAGTTGTGGACAGACTAAGTCTAAATATTTTATCAAGAAATGTCTGAAGGGTATCATTATTGTTATCAGAATGTTTTTCTGCATCACCCAGTCAGTTTCAGCCTTTTCCTGAGATGTCTACTGGTGAAGATCCGCGTGAAACTGATCTTCAACAATCCATGCAACAAAGAGGCTACAAACGGAATTGGGTGGTTAGACTAACTTGGTTGATACATGTCATCGTATCCCAAATGCACAGCATGATGGTCATAATGACCCTGGATTGTCTCGTTCAGACTCGATTATTCCCTTCAACTGGAATATTGGGTGCGAAGGGTGATATTCAGAACAGGCAAACCAGGACTGAAAGCATGAGATACGATCCACGTCTTTGGACAAAGATGACAGTAGCCATGTTACTGATCCTAACCAATGGTCCCCATCATCACCAACTCTTATGACGAGCATGTGTTACTGTGGACAGGATATGACGTAGCTACACAAAAGAGTAAGCATGGATTTAAGCGTTTTTCCCCTCAATGCCCGTGAATGCACTTCTTGTAGAAGCGATGTTGACTTCTTCAGCGGTGACATCTTTGTACAGGTAGCACTTGCTATAAGAAAGTATGTAAAACAATCTTGGAACTAAATCTAACTGGACATGAACCTCGTCCACGACCTGGATGGATCGTATATGTGTTGGATCTTTGACAATGATGAAAGAGATGGTCGTCCCTACCGTATTAGTGCTAAAACCATCTGGATGCACGAGTCGGGCTTCCTGTAGACATCTCCCCTTGAAGCCACTGCAAACATCGGTTATAATGTTAGTGACTCTCTGTATATCGTAGCGAAGGTTTCCTGTACCAAGAGGTGGGAAGCTGATAGTCTTGTGGCCATCAGAATCAGCTTGATGAAGAATCTGCTCAACAGCATCCCTGAGACACTATAAACAATGGAAAGCAATGAACTTTTATAACTGAAATTTACTTTTGATGCTCTTTTAGATATGGTATGGTCGGTTTTGCATGCTTAAGGGTTTCAGCTTGTTTCAAAATCATGGAAATAAAGATCATGAGTATGCAAATGCTTTGGTCAAAATGTTTGTCTGTGATGCATCAAATTAGGAAAAGTGCTCCAAAATTCCAGTACAATGTAGTTGCAAACATTAATTTCTATATTCAACAACGTTTTGGATACAAAAGAGCATCTTCTTTCTTGTCTGGATGCATTCAAAGAGTGCCTCACAACTAGCATGTCACGTTTTTCTGAAACATTCAAAGATTTGCTAAGAATCTACAAACTGTGAAACCCTTGAGCATGCCGTACGATGTCCTTTGAAATCAAACGTTTTCTATTTCAAGTTTGCGCGTCCCAGGATGATAACAACCAGGTCCATAGTGTTACTACTTTGTACATTTCTTTTTCATACCTGTTCTGTGTTGTGTTGGTCGGTTTCCCACGTGTCAGGTAGAAAAACATGATATATGTTTCGACAGGCCAGATTTCCACCTCCTGTTGTTGCTAATGCTCCCTCCTGTAAACCATTTGGATACTTCGCTCTGCACTCTTCCTGGATCGCTGGCCCTGCTGCTTCGAGGATGCACATTGAAATACCCCCTTCGTTCAGTTTCAGAAGCACGTTTGTTGAGTTGACGATTGCATCAGTCTGGAAAAGAACAAAACAGGCCAACTTACCTTTGATGGCAAAGGGGTCCTTACCACAGGTATATACTACTCAACCTTTGCTAAGGATATATTGCAGGACAGGCATCGTTACCTGACGTTTGTAATTAGCTACTTAAGGTCTAGCAACAGACGTTTGTTCATAAAAAGTTTTCACCCAATATTGTCTTTGTCTATTTCAACAGATGCACAAATTTTGGCTTATGATCTTGTGATCATTCTAAGTAAACTTTGAGTAGTATATATAGTTACATAGCACAGTCGACAAAAGGTCATAGGTCAGTATTAACACATATTATATTTGATTAGAGTATTTATACTTATTTAGAGTGTTTTTAGCAGAATGCCAGTATTTCAATATTCCAGCAATATCAAGACGAGGGTCACCAGAAATTGGCTTCACACATGTCCCTGTGTAAGGACGATAACCGGGATCTTCGGTGTGACCAGCGACCGCGTTAAGCAGTAGGTTACACGCAATGATATTTAAAAATACACATACAACAAAATGTTAAATAAATATCAGTCGTAGATATAAACTTTGAATAATGTGTACCTTTTCTTGTGTGATGTCGCCAGATACCAGTGTGACAACTGTCTTCATGGCTGATATGAAATTATAAACATCTTAAATTGTCACAGACAGATTTTAAATAATTGTTTAATTTTCGACATATTGTGTATTGCTTTAGCTTGTTTAATGTGCTCGCTACCATGAAACAATTTCTTTGGTGTGACATCTTCTGAGACCCGTGAAGATCCGGGTTAGAATTGGTTTACAAAACCAATGCTTGTTGTAAGGGGCGACTAACGGGATCGGGTGGTCAGGCTCGCTGAGTTGGTTGGCACTTGTCATTCGTATCCCAATTGCGTAGATCGATGCTCATGATGTTGATCACAGGATTGTCTGGTCCAGACTCGATTATTTACAGATTGCCGACACATAATTATTTCTTTCCTACTTCCATACTGAGACATTATCATATCGCGTTTTAGTGATGTTAGATGTTGGGTACTTACGATGTAGTGCCCTTTTCAACTCCTCCACTTCTCTGACCTTTTGTTCATACTAAAACAGTAAAGGAACGATCAATTTCACGTTTACTTTGATTTGAACAATATCGATTTCCCATCGAGATTGAACAGACAAAACATGCATGTAATGAAACACCTCTCACTTCAAGGACTATTAACAATGAGAGTAAACCGTACGTAAAATATTATATTTAGCTGACTGTACCCCCTGACTGTTGCATGTGATACGATAGAAGATACGTACACTTCAAAGATACATATATACGATGCAGTACCAAGATACTAATACAGTCTATACACACATATTTATTTGTACTCAAATATCTCTATATGCAACCTTATAACACACAGACAACTAGAAATCGGATATAATTATATAGAAAGCAAATATTTAAATTTTACATCTTTTAGATTTGTTATAAACCAATGAACACATTGTATGGTAGCAAGGTTGATATCAGTAGATGATTTGGCATTTCTGCATGCCTCTTAATCCACGTCATATCCTTTAGTACAGTAGTACAGATTGTTTTCAAGACTGAATATTTACGACAATTACAAGTAATTGTAGGATTGTTTGATTTTTAGGTTGAAGTTATAAGAGATGAAAAGACTATTTTATCCATGTTAATGTATTTATGAGTATAATGTCAAAGAATGTTACATCACCGATGATATTGTAATTTCACCTTTTCTTTGCTGACACAGTTCTTGTGGAATTCTTCCTCATTTTCTGAAACTAAATTAAGACATAAATGTGGATGTATCAAATAGATATTGCCAATGTTTCATGCGTAAAGTTTTATAATATTTCATTTGTAAAATATTTATTTGGATATTTAGGTAATTTCGTGTGTAGCAAGAATAATGTATACTTTAGTGAAATGGCTAGAGATAGGTAACTAATGTTCATATCAACATGTCTATGTCTCTAATAACTGTACACGTATAATCTAGTGGATGTTCATAAGTTCAAAGATCTATTGAGAATAACAGTTACTATCAAACCTAGGATCAGTTGAATAAAAAACATATTTCTTACGATATCTTCCCAAATCTGTCAAGGGAACAGTGACGTTGCTCTCGATGTCAAAGTTCAGACGATGGCCACTGGGTATGCATGCTCTCACTTTCTCCGTAAAAATGCTCTCGACCATGTGTTGTAGCCAGACTGACCCAATGTCTTGTCCAGGGTGTACTTCTATCTCAATTATGACTGACCCCCTTTTAACTCCTACGATCGAGGCATCATTCAGCTTTACATTGATCACTTCCGTCTCTTGATTTATTTCATATTCAATATTCTCTTCTAGATCTTGGTCCCATGGGTCAGTTGTCACCTTCACAACAACCTTTGAAGTGGACGGCCCAGCAACTGTAAATTCGAAATTATATATATATATATGTAATTTGTAACTATTTAGGAAGATGACCTTGATATACGTATAAGAGAAAATCAATGTCATTATTTTGAGGATTTCACTGCTGTACACTTCTGTGGATACATAAAATGAACTTTTATCTGAGAGTGGATGGAGAGTGGACACTATAAGTTGTTCACTGATCACGAGAGGGTACATCAACCCATGGGCCCCAAGGAACCAGTGAACAATGTATTTAACGTACCGAACTGCTCATTGTTAATTTTGAACTGTTTGAAGCACGGGTATTGCCCCTCTGGAAGGTTTTCATATTGGCGCATGAACATCAGAACTACTTTAAACAAGAACGATAAATCCATTCCTGTTTGATTCCAATGATACTTAATATCACCGAAGCACTTGTACATTATAATGCTGTTTTTATATGAATTTTAAATGAATTCGCTGAAAAAATATAAATGACTCCAAAAAAGTCAGACTAAAATATCCCCAGAGATGTGAATATTAGCCCATTGTTAAGGATTAAAGCTGATTAGTTACATATAGATATAATATTATTGTTTTGAAACTCGTAGGGACTTTTATTACATTTCCTTAAAATGTTGAAAGCGCACGTACAATCATCAAAACAAGCTCGCAAGATCGTCAGAAATACACACAATTGGACCCATGAGAGCCGTTATGTCAACAAACACACGTGCATGTATTTGAACTTCTCACCGTTTATGGCATTACCTTTACTAAAAACTACACGAGGCAACACAGTTCTGTTCGCTACGTTCTTTGTAATTTCAATATGACGATATATGATTTTCATGATTTTTTAAACAAACACATAATGCCATAACCGATTTAAGTACTGGGGATTATTTTTATCATTACTTGCGATCTGATTGGTTTGTCGTATTTTCGCACATAACAAGCATCGAGAGGGGGACGAGTCTTCTTGGAGGTTACGGAAAGGAGCGAGTGGGGACGAATGAATATGGAGTACCTTAGTTAGGCAATAGCCCAAACACTACTAACACTAAGTACGAAACGAATTCCCACAGTTCGGCATTTCCAGCGGGTAACATAGAAAATGTCACTTGCTTGTAAGCGGGGTACATTGATTGGCTCAACCAATCAGAAAACGACTTTAATTTTTGGTATGAGGTAAGATAATAAATTTAGATCTAGGCTAGTGGACAGACACACGCTTGCCTCAGAAGATGCACATGTACGGCGAGGCGCACGTTCCGGTGTCAAGTTGGCCAAAGTTGTTATAGAGCCAGAGAGCTGAAGCTCACGTAGATAAACATTCGCTGCCTGTCATATGATCATGTACGATACTTAAGTGATGATATCTCAATGTTTTCTGTAACGTTCTTTCTACTGAAGACCACAACGCGTTGACGTCATTATATTACCTCGTCCTATGGCTCAATATACACGTCACATTACCTAGGAAATATACGCTCATGAAACAGTAGAAAGGGTAGATAACGGGACACAACACGCAATACCAATAATTCAGGTATCCCAAAACCATATTTCTATATATTTCTATCCTTTCTGTGTGACACGTAAGCATTTCATTATAAAATGTATCTCACATCTTAACATTAACTAAATCGATAAGTCTTGTATGAATAATTACCTATGCGAGTGAACATTTAAAGCAAATATTTCTACAACCGCCACACAAACACAGATATATACTACCCATCAAAAGTTTAGACTCACTAGTGCAAATGTAGCCACTTACTTCAGTCAACTGTTCTAAACTAGATTTTGCAGAATATTCCATACCGTTTCAAGGTACTGATGTATTGTACAACAGATTTGTAACGTTGAAAAGATTATTGTCATGAGTTCAATGAATGATGAAACTCGGTGATATCTGTCCAATTCTTAACAAAACTTTACACCAAAACGCAGCTGTTCACATGCACGATACTTGCACATGCTTTTCAGCAATTTGATGCATGATCCTCGTGGAATTCATCTGCATAAGATTTGCAGTTGGTTCCCCCAAGTTAGTGGAGAACTTCATCTTCGATGTAACCAAATGTATATATGTAACATATAGTGAGCGCTTTAAGTGAGTCTAAACTTTTGATGGGTAGTATATGCAGTGAGTACCTATCTGAAGCACGATAGTGTTCTGTGTTCCATCCTGTTTCATTACAGTCCATGTCTGGCTCAGGTTTTTAATGTACATCTGGCACTTGGAGCCAATTTGGACATATTTCTCCTCTCCTGTTTCTGAAACAAAGTATTTAAGCTGACTTTTTAATTACCTGCCTGTGTTCAATGGATGAGGAATTGATTAAAATTAATACTTCAAACATGTCGACTGTGCCTGCAAATTGACGAAAAAACCAAGACCAAATAGGATTTTCCAAAAACAGATATGTTTGCCACGAAAATGTTTCCTCGGATATATTTAATTTGTTGGTAAAAGGATAGATCCAATTATTTGTAATGTAATGTAATATAAATGTAATATGTAACGTAATGCAACATGTAATGCATCATAATGTAATATGCAATGTAATATGTAATATAATGTTATGTAAAGTAATATGTAATGTAATATGTAATGTGACGAAATTTAATGTCTAATAATGTAATGTAATATGTAATGTAATGTAATGGAATGTCATACAATGTAATATGTAATGTAAAATCATATAATGCAGTATGTAATGGAATGTAACGTAATGTAATATGTAATGCAATATGTAATGTAATGCAATACGTAATGTAACATAATGCAGTATGTAATGTAACATAATGTAATACATAATGTAATATGTAATGTAATGTCATATAATGTAATATGTAATGCAACGTAATGCAATATGTAATGTAACGTGTGTAAATTGTAATGTGATTTAATATTTAATGTAATGTAATGTCATATAATGTAATATGTAATGTAATATCATATAATGCAATATGTAATGTAATGCAATACGTAATGTAACATAATGCAGTATGTAATGTAACGTAATATAATATGTAATGTAATGTAATGTAATGCAATATGTAACGTTATGTCATATAATGCAATATGTAATGTAACGTAATGCAATATGTAATGTAACGTAATGCAATATGTAATGTAACATATGTTAATTGTAATGTGATTTAATATTTAATGTAATGTAATATGTAATGTATTGTAACATGTAATGTTATGTAAGGTAATGTAATGTAATATGTGAGTGAGTGAGTTTAGTTTTACACCGCACTCAGCAATATTCCAGCTATCTGTAAATAATCGAGTCTGGACCTGACAATCGGGAACTGACAATCCAGTGATCAATAGCACGGGAACCGATTGGCCACCCGATCCCGTTAGTCGGCTCTTACGACAACCAATGGTTTACTGAAGGCCAATATTCTAACCCGGACCTTCACGGGGTAATGTAATGTAATGTAATGTAATGTAATGTAATGTAATGTAATGTAATGTAATGTAATGTAATGTAATGTAATGTAATGTAATGTATGTAATGTAATATGTAATGTAACGTAATATAATATGTAATGTAATGCAATATAATGTAATATGTAATGTAATGCAGTATGTAATATAACGTTATGTAATATGTAATAAAATGTCATCTAATGTAATAGGGGCGGTGGGGTAGCCTAATGGTTAAAGCGTTGGCTCGTCACGCCGAAGACCCGGGTTCGAATCGCCACATGGGCACAATGCGTGAAGCCCATTTCTGGTGTCCCCCGCCGTGATATTGCTGGAAATATTTCTAAAAGCGGCGTAAAAACCAAACTCAGTCAGTCAGTCAGTCTAATGTAATATGTAATGTAATATAATGCAATGGAATATGTAATGTAATGCCATATAATGTAATTGTTTTAAATTTAGAACAATTACTAGAAATATGAGTCATATACTCTTCAGATAATGATGTATGGTGTGTATGAATTCCAAAGTACTATTATCCTCTCTCGGAAATAGCTTATGGTCACCTTCAGCCAATTCTTGGGCGTCACATTCAGATTCAGCATCACTATCCTCTGCAGCTTGAGATGAAGGATCGTCATCTTCAGCAAGGTCTTGCTGACAGTGTGAACCATCTCTGGTCATTAAAAGCTCTTCTTCACTCAGTAAACCTGACGAGATGTACACCTCTCTGTATTCTAAAACACATTCTTCCGGAAGTTGCCATCGGAAGCATTGAAATCGGGATTCCTCTGAACCAGGAAGTCTGTTTATCAACATGACCTTGGACTGTTTAGCAAAATCTGAAAGGAATAATCATCAGAGAATTTTGAAAGTGAACACTAACTTCTGGACATAACTACATTCAAATATTATTTCAGTTTTGTTTGATGTTTGCTTTGGTAGGTAAAAATAAAACCTTATATGGACCTAAAATGTTCTCAAAACGAGACACCTCATATGTGTTGTGAAGGTATGTAATAAAGAATGATACTCTTTCAAAAAAGTAGAACTGAACTTTCAATTCGGATAGGAAGTACAAGCCTCAACTTTTGTCAAAGACAACCCTGTTATGAACGCACCACCATTTCCCTGAAACATATATCTGCTCATAATATAGTCACAACTGTACAATCGCCTCTGCTTTTGGCAGAGATGTCTTAGGGATGTGGAATGGATTTTGTCGCTTCTATTTATCCCCACCCCTAAACACAACGCATGGGATGCACGTGCAACGCAGTAGACCCATACACGTCATTCTTGATTTTGACGGTCTTCAAGAAGGTCGATAAATCACTGTCAACCATTAATTTTGACAATCATCTTGTATCACACAATTGTTAGTGTTTGTTTCTAATCGGGTTTTTTGTTTGGCTTGGCTTGGCTTGGCTTAGCTTGGCGGGTTGGTTTGGCTTGGCTTAGTGAGGTGGGATGGGGCGGATAAGACTGGGTATGAAGAATATTTTTAATGTACGTCTAGTCACCTACTTTCGAAGAAATCCTCGACTCGTGTATGAAAACTTCTTTTTCTTAAAAACAGATCACATATCTGGGAATCAACAATAATCCACATCTCCTTGTAAACTGTTTCGTGGCTTGATAGTTCAGTCAAGTCAGCTACTGCTGCAGAAAGAAAATTGAAACCCAAATTGATGCACACCAACAACATCATACCAAATAGCTGTTGCACTTTTATTACGAAAAAGCATTATTATTTTTTCGAATCATTAAATAAATCTGAAAGCGGAGTACGATTTTTTAAATTGTATTTTTGTATTTGATTTTGTTATTGCTAAATGCCGCACTCAGCAATATTCCAGCTATATGACAGCGGTGCATAAATAATCGAGTTTGGACAAGATAGTTAAGTGATTGATGTCATGAGCATTGATCTACGCAATTGGGATACGATGACATGTGTCAACCAAGTCAGCGAGCCTGACCACCCGATCCCGTTAGTCGCCTCGTACGACAAATATGGGTTGCTGAAGACCAATCAATTCTAACCCGGATCTTCACGAGTCTCCTCCAGAGTGTGCCAAGAGCATATGTTATTAAGCATTGTCAAATACCCTCAAATATCCGACGAAACTGATTCCATTGGGCTTTTAAGTGAAAATGGCTTTGAAAATTGTATCAATGAATCATTCTTATGTTATCGGGTGTTCGAGAATGCAGAACGAGAAAATATCGTACGGTCTACCAATACGTTACCTCTGCAAACATGGATAGAATGCATTATGTGCTGGTTTTGGTGTTGTCCTTGGAGATTTCTTGCTTCATCCATGGCTTTGTCAGAACATATGATAACTAGAATAGATAATGATCAACGATTGTAAACTTATTAATTATATTCACGTTAATTTATTGTAATTATGCAAATTTATGCAATCATATTTAGATTATTTGCTCATTGCTGCCAGAAAGCATGTATGGATTATATCACTCCTACGATATAAACTTGATAGATTAAAAACATCTTCAATTAGATTCCCCAGGCAATGTGTTCGCTGAGTTGGTTATTTTCTTTCACTTAACTATTTGCCTTTTTCCAGATGTTAGTCACTGTTCCATCTGCATACAAGGACACCTGAAAGAATTGGTCGAGTTTTTGATATGCCTATCGCATATGAAATTTAATTTCAAATTCAAAACACGAAAAGGTAGTTAACTTAAAATGGTATGTAGAAATAGGAAATTTATATCCGTTCTTGGTGCGGTAGCAAAGTGGATATATATCATTGGCTTGTGATGCCAAATACACGAGTTTGAGGTACAGCATAGTTATCACATACACATGGAAATTAATTAAGCAACACCTAATTCATATACCTATAATTCTGTGAATTAAGAAAACAGAGCATATTTCTGAATGATTTATTAACATTTTGCATTTTGCTATGTAGCATGATTTTTGTGTGGATATTTAATGCAAGTGCGACAATGCGCAATGCACGTGAAATGTTAACATGTCGCACTCTCTCCTTTCAATTTGAATTGAATATTCAGTACCATGATTGTCATGACACGTCGTAAATTGTCAGAGGCTACAGGGTGGCATGAGATATGGAGGAATGTCACTCAGGCAAATTGGACATCACGTTGGGCGCAATCTTGCCATCATTTCAAGACTCTTGAACAAACACAGAGCTGCCAGTGATGTTAAAGGTCTTCCAAGACCTGATAGACCCCGATAGACAACAATAAGCGAGGATAGAGCATTGTTGAGACATGTTATGGGACTCGTTGTGGCAACTGTGGTTGTCAGGGATAGCCCTTTCCTGCAGGACCTTCAAGAATCGGCTGAAAGCAGCAGGATACAGGACCGGACGACCCATCAAGTGTATAAACAAAGCAGCAGGATACAGGACCGGACGACCCATCAAGTGTATATACAAAGCAGCAGGATACAGGACCGGACGACCCATCAAGTGTATATACAAAGCAGCAGGATACAGGACCGGACGACCCATCAAGTGTATATACAAAGCAGCAGGATACAGGACCGGACGACCCATCAAGTGTATATACAAAGCAGCAGGATACAGGACCGGACGACCCATCAAGTGTATATACAAAGCAGCAGGATACAGGACCGGACGACCCATCAAGTGTATATACAAAGCAGCAGGATACAGGACCGGACGACCCATCAAGTGTCTATACAAATAAGCAGGATACAGGACCGGACGACCCATTAAGTGTAGATACAAAGCAGCAGGATACAGGACCGGACGACCCATCAAGTGTATATACAAAGCAGCAGGATACAGGACCGGACGACCCATTAAGTGTATAAACAAAGCAGCAGGATACAGGACCGGACGACCCATCAAGTGTATATACAAAGCAGCAGGATACAGGACCGGACGACCCATCAAGTGTATATACAAAGCAGCAGGATACAGGACCGGACGACCCATCAAGTGTATATACAAAGCAGCAGGATACAGGACCGGACGACCCATCAAGTGTATATACAAAGCAGCAGGATACAGGACCGGACGACCCATCAAGTGTATATACAAAGCAGCAGGATACAGGACCGGACGACCCATCAAGTGTATATACAAAGCAGCAGGGTACAGGACCGGACGACCCATCAAGTGTATATACAAAGCAGCAGGATACAGGACCGGACGACCCATCAAGTGTATATACAAAGCAGCAAGATACAGGATCGGACGACCCATCAAGTGTATATACAAAGCAGCAGGATACAGGATCGGACGACCCATCAAGTGTATATACAAAGCAGCCAGGATACAGGACCGGACGACCCATCAAGTGTACATGTATATACAAAGCAGAAGGATACAGGACCGGACGACCCATCAAGTGTATATACAAAGCAGCAGGATACAGGACCGGACGACCCATCAAGTGTATATACAAAGCAGCAGGATACAGGACCGGACGACCCATCAAGTGTATATACAAAGAAGCAGGATACAGGACCGGACGACCCATCAAGTGTATATACAAAGAAGCAGGATACAGGACCGGACGACCCATCAAGTGTATATACAAAGCAGCAGGATACAGGACCGGACGACCCATCAAGTGTATATACAAATAAGCAGGATACAGGACCGGACCACCCATCAAGTGTATATACAAAGCAGCACGACTTGCCTGCTTTTCCGATGAGAGTTTCTTATTGCATATGGTCGTCCACGTGTCTGAGACAAAGGACCACATCTATCGTTCCCCGCAATATCAAGAAGGCGGTTCCCTTTAGAGGAGGGCGAATCATGGTATGGGAATGCATTTCCTTGGGATGCAAGATGGACCTCATGGACAGCAGAAGCCCTAGAAACCGAACTTCCCGCCATGTCTTCGTCCATTATAAACCACCCCGCCGGCAATCAGCACCCTTTGTAATAAGTATCCCGTATGTCCCAGCAGTCAGCCACCAGACTTCTTCAGCAGCAAGCAGGCATAGACGTCCTGTTCAAGAAAGGTAAGTCTACCCAGAACCTCCTCCAAGCCACAGGCAAACCACCGTCAACAACAAAAGATGACCCCTCGGGAGTAGTCTACCAGATTCGTTGTGAATGTAGAGACATCTATATTGGTGAAACATCCCGCCCGCTCCCACTACGAATCAAAGAACATAAAGCGTCAGTCCAGAAAATCTACTCCAAATCCGCCATAGTCGACCACACCCAACCCAACCCTGACCATGCCATCCTATGGAACAACATCGACATCTTGGAAATCAACCGACAAGACTACAAAATTAGAAAATTACTCACTATGCAGCAATGTATATATTCTCCTTCTTACAAATTGTTGTATCATTTGCTTGATAACGGTGTTAGTACCTACACCGAAACGTCGCACTCATTGCAATAAAGAAGTTGAATGAGAAGGCATCTTGAATCATACACAATCATCTTTCAAGAGCGATTACTGCACAACTATCGTAATAAAGAAGTGCAAGTGTTGATGCACTCTCCAAACATTAATTATTATCATATCAACATTGATTGACTCCCATATATACTCCCATATATCTCCCAATTGTTTCAATCGTAGATTAAAAATGAAGTTCACCTACTTATTTTAAGAGTATATTTGTCCAAAGCTAACTGTAATCGTCACGTAACGTGTGGGTGGCGTTGTTCGTGTGCAGGGAGGTTACACAAGATTTCGACTTGTAAGACACTATTCTTCAATTCCGTGAACAAAACGTGTGCATGGTACTGACAGTTAAGTCTATGCAAAAACAGTTAATTTCGCAGTGTTTTGGCATGAAATGAAGTCATTTTCCAGATCTGTAATTAATGTTTGAATAATGTCCGTTTGATTAGCATTTTAGAAGTTGATGGATAATAGAATAGTATAATACTTTATGGATAACAACTCATTTATTTGTTATGATGCGACGTTTCGTTATAGCTTCTTATACCGTTGTCAAGCAAGAGTTAAGTAATACAGAACCAACTTATATACATGAAACAGGGATTAAGTAAGACAACATGAGGGAATACATCAAAGGGATAGGTAATAATACAATAACAATGGGGGGAAGCCAATATAGAGGGACAGAACAAGGTATACATAGCAGATGGGGTAGGTAATAATACAATAACAATGGGGAGAAGCCAATATAGAGGAGGCAGAACAAGGTATACATAGCAGATGGGGTAGGTAATAATACAATAACAATGGGGAGAAGCCAATATAGAGGAGGCAGAACAAGGTATACATAGCAGATGGGGTAGGTAATGATACAATAACAATGGGGGAAGCCAATGTTGAGGAGGCGGAACAAGGTATACATAGCAGATGGGGTAGGTAATGATACAATAACAATGGGGGAAGCCAATGTTGAGGAGGCGGAACAAGGTATACATAGCAGATGGGGTAGGTAATAATACAATAACAATGGGGGAAGCCAATATAGAGGAGGCAGAACAAGGTATACATAGCAGATGGGGTAGGTAATGATACAATAACAATGGGAGGAAGCCAATATAGAGGAGGCAGAACAAGGTATACATAGCAGATGGGGTAGGTAATGATACAATAAAAATGGGGGAAGCCAATGTTGAGGAGGCAGAACAAGGTATACATAGCAGATGGGGTAGGTAATGATACAATAACAATGGGAGGAAGCAATGTTGAGGAGGCAGAACAAGGTGTACATAGCAGATGGGGTAGGTAATAATACAATAACAATGGGAGGAAGCCAATATAGAGGAGGCAGAACAAGGTATACATAGCAGATGGGGTAGGTAATGATACAATAACAATGGGGGAAGCCAATGTTGAGGAGGCGGAACAAGGTATACATAGCAGATGGGGTAGGTAATGATACAATAACAATGGGAGGAAGCCAATGTTGAGGAGGCGGAACAAGGTATACATAGCAGATGGGGTAGGTAATAATACAATAACAATGGGGGAAGCCAATGTTGAGGAGGCGGAACAAGGTATACATAGCAGATGGGGTAGGTAATAATACAATAACAATGGGGAAGCCAATGTTGAGGAGGCGGAACAAGGTATACATAGCAGATGGGGTAGGTAATGATACAATAACAATGGGGGAAGCCAATGTTGAGGAGGCAGAACAAGGTATACATAGCAGATGGGGTAGGTAATGATACAATAACAATGGGGGGAAGCCAATGTTGAGGAGGCGGAACAAGGTATACATAGCAGATGGGGTAGGTAATAATACAATAACAATGGGGGAAGCCAATGTTGAGGAGGCGGAACAAGGTATACATAGCAGATGGGGTAGGTAATGATACAATAACAATGGGGGAAGCCAATGTTGAGGGAGGCGGAACAAGGTATACATAGCAGATGGGGTAGGTAATAATACAATAACAATGGGGGAAGCCAATGTTGAGGAGGCGGAACAAGGTGTACATAGCAGATGGGGTAGGTAATAATACAATAACAATGGGAGGGAGCCAATGTTGAGGAGGCAGAACAAGGTATACATAGCAGATGGGGTAGGTAATGATACAATAACAATGGGAGGAAGCCAATGTTGAGGGAGCAGAACAAGGTATACATATACATAGCAGATGGGGTAGGTAATAATACAATAACAATGGGGGAAGCCAATGTTGAGGAGGCGGAACAAGGTATACATAGCAGATGGGGTAGGTAATAATACAATAACAATGGGGGAAGCCAATGTTGAGGAGGCGGAACAAGGTATACATAGCAGATGGGGTAGGTAATAATACAATAACAATGGGGGAAGCCAATGTTGAGGAGGCGGAACAAGGTATACATAGCAGATGGGGTAGGTAATAATACAATAACAATGGGGGGAAGCCAATGTTGAGGAGGCGGAACAAGGTATACATAGCAGATGGGGTAGGTAATAATACAATAACAATGGGGGGAAGCCAATGTTGAGGAGGCGGAACAAGGTATACATAGCAGATGGGGTAGGTAATACAATAACAATGGGGGAAGCCAATGTTGAGGAGGCGGAACAAGGTATACATAGCAGATGGGGTAGGTAATAATACAATAACAATGGGGGAAGCCAATGTTGAGGAGGCGGAACAAGGTATACATAGCAGATGGGGTGGTAATGATAATAACAATGGGGGAAGCCAATGTTGAAGGCAATGTTACATAGGGAGGAGGCGGAACAAGGTATACATAGCAGATGGGGTAGGTAATAATACAATAACAATGGGGGAAGCCAATGTTGAGGTGGCGGAACAAGGTATACATAGCAGATGGGGTAGGTAATAATACAATAACAATGGGGGAAGCCAATGTTGAGGTGGCGGAACAAGGTATACATAGCAGATGGGGTAGGTAATAATACAATAACAATGGGGGAAGCCAATGTTGAGGAGGCGGAACAAGGTATACATAGCAGATGGGGTAGGTGATGATACAATAACAATGGGAGGAAGCCAATGTTGAGGAGGCAGAACAAGGTATACATAGCAGATGGGGTAGGTAATAATACAATAACAATGGGAGGAAGCCAATGTTGAGGAGGTGGAACAAAGTATACATAGCAGATGGGGTAGGTAATAATACAATAACAATGGAGGGAAGCCAATGTTGAGGAGGCGGAACAAGGTATACATAGCAGATGGGGTAGGTAATAATACAATAACAATGGGGAGAAGCCAATGTTGAGGAGGCGGAACAAGGTATAC